AGAGCTTCGTCCCAACGAGTTCGCTCGTTTGCCCGAGTTTCGCACGATTGTATTCTGACTGAACGACTTGCCGATGGCTGTTTTCTTGGCCTTAGTGTCCACCGCACGCGATGCGCTCTGCTGCTGCTGTTGCTGCTTTCTGGTGACGTTTTTGGGACGTGGCGTGGGGGCGGTTTTCTTCGGTAGAGGCCACACATCCGGGTCACTTGGTGGCGCATCAACTGGCGATGAGGCCGTCGATGAGCTGGCCATTTGACGCATTTGCGCTACAATGTCCCCAACTCCATTCACTCGCTCCAAATTCAATTTCAAAGCCATTTTAATCTAAAAAAGAAATTGAATTTAGAATTACTAATAACTAACGAATGCCTATTCGCTAGTTAACTAAAGGATCGAAGGGCCGGGCCTGTGGGAACATCCTAGTAACATCACACTAACATACCAAGAGGGCTTGGTATTCTCGGTAATAAACAACAGCTGATTGATGGCCTGCTAGTATGTTTTTGAATATTTGTACAAACGAAGCCCGATGTCTTTGTGAACTCCCAAGTGATATCCAGCGCTCATCAGACTGCTCAGATCACCAGAACCATGTAAACATGTAGCTATTCACGCACTCATCGAGCACCACCACTGCCAGGATAGGGTAATTGAACTACAACAGTGAATTTTATGGTATAGCGGTTAAAAACTGGATGAAGGAAGAGATGACTAAGCTGCGACAGAAAGTAAGACTTTCGGCGGAAGAAGCCAAATTTGTAGTAAAAATCGACATTCAACTAATGAAATCGAGCAACGCAACACAGAAAAGCAGTGAATGAATGACCAAACGAAGGAGGCAGCTTCATATACCATAAGGAAGAGAAGCTCGCATTACACTGCCAATAGCCGCAAAAAACCGAAAATGGCCACAGCGGCGCAACGAGAGACCGTGGGACCCACAGTATTTAGCTAGAAAAGAGAGCAACAGGACAGCCAACAGGGACCGGCCAACGGTGATATGTAAAATACTTAAGTATCATCAAAAGCCGTCCTTCCTCTCCACAAACGATCACTGTTTAGTGCCTCTTATTATACGTTTTGTGCTGCGTAACAGCAGTACAAAACGCATACTGTCAAGGGGTTGTCTGTGTGTGTGTGTTCGCAGCAACTTGTCCGCAACTGTCAACTCGGGAACCACAAAAGCTAGGAAGCTGAAAATTTAGGGGAACGTTCCCCACCCACGTGTGA